CAAATATCGAAATAATAAAATAATACTAAGATAAAATAATAAACTAATAAAATAAAACTGTTCTATAACAATACTATATGTAAATAATGAAGTAATTAGTAATCTTGATTTTTTCAATTTTTTCTTATATTTTGTGAAGTAGTAAAAACAAGATTTATACACAATCGAGAGAACAATTTTAATTAAAAATGAGTCATATTCTGACGAACTAGCACTTCACAACTCAACTTGATAGATAATATCAACTGAAACTTATACATAACATTTCCTATTGATACTAATCTAGAAAATACAAAATTTTCACTTCCTTACCTTATTATCAGTCTTCTAATGATGACTTGGATGATATGAATCTCACTCAATTTTCTGAACCTTCTAATGATAATTTTGATGATATAAATCTTGCACAATTCTGAATCTTTTAATTACAGTATAATTTCAGCAATATAAACCTTGCCCGACCTTCTGGACCTAATGATAATTTTGATAACATGAATCTTGCACAACCTTCTGGACCTTTTAATAATAATTTTGGCGATATAAATCTCATATGTCTTTTTGAACCTTCTAATAATGATTCTGGCAATATAAATCTTGCACAACTTTCTGGTTCTTGTGATAATTTTGGCAATACGAATTACCAACTACTTTAAGGATTTTTTAATAATAATTTTGATAATAATAGTAACCTAGTTAATACAAGATATAATTTTGGTGATATGAACCTTGCCCAACCTTTTGGACCTAATGATAATTTTAATGACATAAATCTTACACAACCTTTTGGACCTTTTAATAATAATTTTGGCAATATAAATCTCATATGACCTTTTGAACCTTCTAATAATAATTCTGCCAATGTGAATCTTGCACAACCTTCTGGTTCTCATAATAATTTTGGCAATATGAATCACTTTCTGAATTTTCTAATAACAATCTTGGTAATAATAGTAACTTAGTTAATACAAGACTTTCTTCGCTACTGTCTGAATCCAATAATACCTCATTTCATGACTGTGATAATGATTTTGTCAATAGTAATACTAGCTTTTCTGAATATGATGATAATTTTGAAAAATTAAGTGTTCCCAGTTATTAATATAACCTTTATGTGGGTGATTGTTTTGATAACTGGGAAGCTGTTGATAGGTTTATATATAATTATTGTTTTGATCAGGGTTTTGGATATTAAGCTTTTCATTATGATAAAAACCAAAATGATCCTGACATTATTCATCAAAAATCTTATCACTATTCATCAGATGGTATTTATAAAGCTTATAAAGTAATTGATCAAAATTTATACCATTTATGCGATAATACAAAAAAAAGTTGTGAATGGCATTGCAACTTTTCACTTCCAAAAACCTATTATAAAATCAAATATACAACACTAAAAAATACACATAGCCATCAAATCAATCTTGTACAGATATCTAATATTAGCGTCAGATATCAATGTTTTAGCGATGAGATGATTTAAGATATTAAATTTTTTTTGGAATACAAGGTTGCATCTATTATTCAACTAGAAATACTTAAAAAGAAGTATCTACAACATGTGTTTTATAGACAAGATGTGTATAACGCAATTTATAAATTGCATCAAAATGATAATGAGAGGTCTGATTCTGTTTCTTTATTTGACAGACTTTTTGAAAAAATGTCTTCAGATCCACGTTGGAAGATATTTATAAGATATACTGGCAATGAACATCAGTTATCAGGTGTTTTTTGGATGTTACCCTTCCAACAAGAATTATATAGATAGTTCTCTAATATAGTCCTTAATGATAACATATGTAAAACTAATAAGTACAATATGTACTTAAGTTTTTTATAATAAAAAATAACTACAGAAGATTTAGAAATGTAGCAAATATGTTAGTAAAGAATGAATTTTCTTCAATATATATTTGGATTTTACAATGTTTGTTAAAGGCAACAAATAATATAGTTCCAAAGTCATTTTGAACTGATTCTGAATCTGGCTTAATCAGTGCTGTTTCTCAAGTTTTTCTGAATACACATCACTTTTATTATATGTTGCATATTTGGCAAAATATAATTAACATCTTAAAGAATCTTTGGGTTCGAATTTCAATGAGTTCAAAAAGGCTTTTTTTTCATGTTGAAATGCTTTAAGTATGGAGATTTTTGAACAACGATGAGAATTTATAGTGAAGACATTTCTAAGATGTAACTGTTATATGACCAAAAAATTATATACTAATCAGATTAGTTAGGCTAAAGCTTACACACCATTCCAATTTAATGCTGGCATTTAGAGCACTTAAAGTGTTAAATCATTTAATAACATTATTAAAAAGTCTCTTAATAATGCTAGCATACTTTGTGAAGTTGAGAAGGTAATTAATAAAAGGCATAAAACTAAAATTAGATATTGCAAACTGACAGATATTAAGGCACAGCATTCAATCATTGGACTTCTACATATTTTATCTCAATTCTTTTTTAGTGTTGATAAACTTCTTGTTAATTTTTTACCACCTCTTATATTATCTTTACAACAGTTTCAAATTTCTCAGTTTTTTACTTATGAAGAACAATTAGAGTACTCAATATCTGAAGTAAGTAGCTCTTATTCTTTTTTTTTTTAATTATGAGGATGATGCTTATTTTTGAATTAAAGTAGTATAGTTAAAAAAAGCTAAAGTATTTATTTATTCTATTCTAGAACTTGTGTATTGACATTATAAGTGATAATTTTATAGAAGATATAGTTGATGAACCCCAGGCAACATTAAAGGCTATTTTAGATAATACTAATATGTCTAAAATTATTGAAAAGTGGAGAATTCATCGAATTGGAGGCCTTTCTTATAAAAAAAATCTGGTAGTTCTTCTTAATGATAGAACATATATTTGTACTTGCTTGAAAACAATAACAAAAGGAATTATTTGCTATCATTTTTGGCGGGTCATGCTTTATTCCAATGCCGCAAAATTTCATATTAGTCTTATACCAATTCGATAGTATAAGGATGATATTTTGATGAAATTAGATGAATTTCTTGATAACTCGCTGGTTCTTACAGCCTTAGAATCATCAAGTGAATATATAATTCAAGCAAATGATACTCTTCAAAGTTTACAAAATTTTCAGAGCACTGGCTATCAATCTAATATTCAGCATGTTATTTCCCAGAAAAATAAATTTGGAATAGCTTTTTCAACAGCTAAAATGGTGATTAATGTTGCATTAGAAACAAAGTGTGATAATAAATTAATTCAATTATTAAAGACTTTCATTTTGATTAAACAAAATAGCTGCAATAAGAATGATAATTCAGAAGAAGCAGAAAGCAGTAAAAATAATCTGAATAGTGATAATATTATTACATTACAACAAGATTTGATCGAACAAACAAATAATCCACATGTTACTAAAATTCAAAGTGTTTTCAGCAAAAAAAAGAATCAAAAATGCTATAGAACTATCAATAAAAAAAAATGTAATGCATGAAACTACAAATATTAATACTAAACAAGAAAACTATAGTGAAGAATTTAGCTCAAGATCACAATACAAGTGCTTGCTATGTGGAACACCAGGTTACTATCAAAAAAAGTGTCCAAATATTAAAGAAAACTAATCTTTATGTTTATATCTATAGATCTTGAGTAGGTTCTTTTAGACTAGCTATAAATATGAATACGATATTGGCTTATTTTGTTGAACTTAAGCTCTTTCTTTTGCTGAGTATTATAATATTATATATATGTATGTTATAGTGTTAGGGTTATATTTATAGTTAGGTTAAAGCTGTTATTGCATGCAAAAATTCTTTTTTTGTATTTGTATATACATATACATATGCATAATATACTTACATATTAAAATATGCATATATCGATATTGTATAACTCCATATATAATAAGAACAATATGTATATCATTATTCATATATATATATACATACATACGTATAGCGATAAATGCAGATAAATTTACTTATAGTTAGCAAAACATATCTTTTTGTCATGTTAGAGTTAGTAGATTTACAAATAAAATTTCTATACATATAGTGAAAACTTGTAAAAAATTTCTTTTACGAACCATCTATCTTAAACAGTCTTGTTATATGTAGTTTAAAACTTCAGTTTAAATTAAAGTTTAAAGACTGAAATTCTAGTACATACATATATATTATTATTGCAACTATAGACATATATGTACACAATGCATCTGTTATACTCAGGTAAATAATTTCAAGTTTCTATATAAATTTACAATAATGATAGAGAGTAAATGCATGCTTCTATATAAATTATAATAACGATAAAATAAATGCATACTTTTATATAAATTTTTTTTTTTTTTTCGGTGTTAAGGTAAGGTCATGCCTCTTGTATCTTTTATTAATTCTTAAGTTTGTATACTACTATACAACCTTGTTGCTCACTCATGCATCTACTAACCAAACTAATTATCGAATACGGAGCTCAGACTACTTTATCTGTGACCTAAACCTATCAGAGTATTCTGTATTCCACCTCCGTATTACTTAGTTTTTGTGCTTTACAACTAACTAATTCTAGTTACACAACCATATTCCCCCATGACTCACAATCAAACCTCAGTAACTCCCAATTTGGTTCATTCGGGTAATTGGTTCCTAAAGGCCTCTCAGATTGGTCTGCCTGCCAAAAGCCTCTTGTACACATATCTCAAGCCAGGTCCCTGCTATCTAGTTAGGTTTACTACATGACAAAGTTGATACTACCTGATGGATTAGGACTTATCTTAGGTTTGCGCTGATTAAGTTACACCAGTTTGCATTCCTTTATTTCTATAAATGCCTAATCCTCACACTCATTTGCCCAGATACTACTAACCTGTATCTCAAGCCAGAGACCTGCTGCCACCGCCAGTTTGCCATCTACAGGTCTTTTATCATCTCTTTTTTGGTCTTTCATATGCTTGTGTACTTTTCTATCCCCTTTGTACTCCCTTTTATAATATTCGTTAGGAACTTGTTTCATATACAGTAACCGATATACTTCCAGCCATTGGCCTTCGTTGTATATATTGTATAACTTCCAACTTGGGTATCTCAACCCTGGTTGGTGTAACATTTATACTGGTAAATTCTTAACCCTTTTCGCCATAGACTTCCATATAGATGTGACCAGAGCTCTGATTTAGTACATTTAATTGTACAGAGATAAATACGCCCTCTATGTTGAGTAACCTTCTATAGTAGATTGTTCCACAGGGCCAGAGGTGCTTCCAATTCCAGTTAAGGTATGATCCTTTATCACAGCCCATAGTCATATATTACTGCTTCACTCACTACTTCAGTTTTGGCTACTGTCGTATCACCCTTCCAAGCAAATACCCCACAAGTTAGATGTAGGGATGTTGGTACTGCCTCCAGATCACCCCAACCAGAGAACTAACTTGTGTAATCTTTCATGTAACCTTCTGTGACACTGCCATCACATATAATACCTATACTCCATAACCTGGTCTCCTTTTAGGAACTCTTTATTCTGGTTTCGTACTGCACTTGGACTTCCACAAGGCTTCGCATTCGATTTTATGGTTCCCATAGGTTATAGAAGCAAGTTTTATTAAAATTTGCCTCCAGCCTGACTCGAACTGTTGACCTAGTCTGTGGGGGTTGGGAGCTTAACCATTAAGCTATGGGACCCAAACTCACTTTTATATAAATTTACAATAATAATAAAAAATAAATATAATGTTTTTTAATTATATATGCAAACCAGTTTTAACCAGTATTAATTAGTTTTAATATAATCATATGATATAGTGATTTTTACCACTGATAAGTGTTAAACTTCTCCAATAGATATAATTATTTCGAAATAATTCAAATATATTTGAATTAATTTGAATATATTTGAATTATTTTAAATATATTAGAATAAATTCAAATTATTTAATTAATTTAATAGAATAATCAATATTATTTCTGTATACAATAATATAGTTTGTAATTTTTTTTTAATGTTAAGGTAACCACTTTGGGGTATGGTACATTTTATAAAACTTTGGATCAAATACCAGGGTAGCCACAGAGGCCACCCCTAATTTTGTTATATTAACAAAGATATATTCTAGCCATATCTGTACCTTTTGAGCACATAATTAAGTAGTTCCCTATTACTAAATACTACACTAGATGCTATACCTATAACTTACTATTATTTGAGTTACTTAATTAAACCCTCTAATTAACTTAGCATCATTGGATATTCTCTCTAAAGAGAAACTGCTGCTAAGGCCCCTTAGGACTACTTTATCCTTGTGGTAAACCTACTAGAGCAGTCCATGTCCTACACATGTATCATCTAGATTTTTGGTAACTTACGTCTAGACTGTGGCCAAGTACTTGCGGCTTTTTACTTTCACTACCCTTACTCTATGCTTTTGCAAAGTTTACTCAAACCCCAGTACCTACTTTACGGACTATTAACAGTATTTAAACCAACTAACAGTGCCCAAAACTTCCAATCCAGATGGCCCAAGAGGGACCAGTGAGTATCTTCTGGTATTCTGAATGAATTCTTTTTCCCTGACTGGTCTGGTAGCCTGGTTGGTGTAGTGCTTGTCAAACACTCAGTCTTTATTTAGTTTACTGCTAATGTCTAGTTCTCTAGATGATAATCCTTTATGTAGTACTATCAAAGATCTGTGCTACCTCTCTACTCAAAACTTGCTAAGCAGGCTTCTGTATACTGTGAGTCTGAGCTTTAGATTTACATAGTTGCATAATTCATACATTACACAACCTTTCAAAACAAGCTGGTATGACCAAAGTTACAGATGCTACTACCCCTCAGGATATCACACAGTATACCGTAATGCATTCTATAAATTCTGAATTTCATTGCCAGTAGGATTCGAACTCTTGTCCTGCCACTTAGAGTATGACAACTTACCAACTTCACTAAGTTGCTATACCCTAATATAGTCTGTAATATTTTACTATATTTAGAATATTCTTTATTAATTTTAAATATTTCAAATTATTTAAAATAGAGGTGTGGCAACTTAGAGTAGTGGTTAAGTTGTCACCTCCCAAGCGACAGGTCTAGAGTTTGAATCCCACCAGAGACATTTTTAGAAAAATAGGCCTGTGTTCTGATAACAATTATTTGACGATTGGTTGGGTATATTACTTGTAATCTTGGTACTACTATCTCGAAATAGAAGCTCTTAGCTAATCCAAATCCAAGGAACTAGAATAATTGAAACCTGTTTGGCAAGACCTGAGTAAGGAGGTAGTGAAGATCTTTGATAATACTGCGGAAAAGTCAGAAACCGGAGACCAAAGAACCAGACAAAAACTCTGGGGCAAGAAGGGTCCACCAACCTGGCCGCCTGGAGTTATACCTGAGGAAAAGTTCCTATACTATGGAATTAGAAACCAAGAGAAGTAAAAACCAAAAGATACTTAAAGCCTAAATACAACTACCTGTCTGAGCTAACTGGTTTGATAGTTGGGAAGAGATCAGTATAAGGACTGGCTTGATGTAGGTATTAGAATCAAAATGAACCTTGTAAGAGCACCGAATACTAGAATTGTGCAGTTTAATAGTTTGACCTGACTGCTAGTGGTGGTTTTGGCTACTGCGGAAGGTATTCATAGCCTAATCTGGAAGTGCGTAAGACATAGAAAGATTAGGGAGTATATACTACACCCTCTCTAGGACAACCTGGTAGTATGAGAATCCTATTGGGTTATCTATAGAATTAGGATACAAGTAGTATAGCAAATGTCAATCTGAGTGATCTTCAATAAGAAGCAGCACGAGGTTATAAATTGGTGTGATTGTGGTGGTGGTGCAATACTGGAGATGTTAGAGGGTTTAAATAGATAATCTCCTAGTTAGATTACAAGTATGGCATATAGTATAGAACCTTTGGGCAGACTACTTAAATTAGGTGACCAAAAGTTGCATGTGTGGCTATATATACTCTCGCTAACAAAGAATGTACTACTAAAATACCTAATAAAAATCTACCCTTCTATGACATTGCAAAGGTATATAAGAAAAAATTATTTAAAATTATTTTAGATATAATATTGCAAAATTTATTTAAAATTTTTTAAAATTTTCATCAAAATATTTTGAAAATATTATTTTTATACTAATTTGTAAAATTTTTTTATAATAAATTCTTTTGCAATATTTTGCTTTTTTAATTTTGCTAATATTATTTGAATATCAAAAACAATAACTATAATACA